TATGTTTGTTGAAAAACACCCCGTGTACCCTATTCGAGGAATGCTCCGAAAATCGAAAATTTTCGAAAAAAAATTTGATTTTGAAGAAAAAAATTGGTTCGTTACGAATTTTCCCAGACACCAAAATATCACAAAATTGGTCCCCAACAAACATTGATACATGATGAACAATGTGGCGCCAATGGGATATCCTTGACCCGTCCCAGAGGTAATTTCGATTGGGTCAGATTTGATATCTGCTATCTTTACAATTTGTCTGCGTCCAGACAAGTAAGATTCGATCCATTTTAACAACTGCTCATTCAATCCCATGATGTCTAGCTTTTGGCTTACACTCTCCAGCAAGTCACTTTCGAGTATCTTATTGAAACCTATACCATTTTTTTGTGCATAATTTGTGCGAATTTGTGCATGCACTTTAAGAATTTGTGCATAAATGGCTGATAAGTTATTCAGCTTTATATTTTGTGGTGAATTTCGGTTTTAGATGCAATTAATCATTTTCATCACGGCCAAAAAATCGGAAAAAATGTTGTGCCATTTTTTTGTGCATAATTTGTGCATAATAAATCCACATCGCACCGAATTTGTGCATGCAGGGGTAGTTCAGTAGTCGACTTGAGCAATATTCTCCAAAATCACTCAATGCTCATGAGCGAAATTCAAAACGGATTAAATTTCTTGAAATTTCACAGTGGTAATATTTTGTGCATAATTTGTCGATTATGCATAATTACGACATAATAACGATATCATACAGGCATGGATATCATACAGGCATGGCTTCCATATAAAAATCCAATTTTTTTGAAATTTTTGTATGACAATTGTGTCGAAACTTTTGTATTGCAAAACTAATATCATATTCGGTTTTCTCGTACCAAAAAACCCCTCAATACATATTTTTGAGTGTTTAAGAATACATTAAATATCACTTTTGGAATTTTTCCCATTGATGGCCATGGGCATCACACCAAACATGACACTTTACTCTATGAACCAAAGTCACTCAAAATCTAATGGTTTCTATTCCTCGACACTCCCAATCATCCTGTGAAGTCAGATTTTGAATTAATTTTCTGGTTTGAAAGTTATCGTGCTAACAAATTTTTGCGTACAGCGTACAGGGTACCACGCACATACATTCGGACATCGAAAAAACGCTAGATTCGTGTTTCCTGGCTCCTAAAACACCCAGAAAACATGAGGTTGTTAATTTTTCGACCGATTCCAATACACACCTAGTGTGCGGAAAAGTAAAATTGAATTTTTCCCATGGGTGCCCATGGGCATCACACCAGACATGACACTTCACTGTATCAACCAAAGTCGCTCAAAATCTAATGGTTTCTATTTCTCGGTACCCCCAATCATCCTGTGAAGTCAGATTTTGAATTACTTTCCTGGTTTGAAAGTTATCGTTATTTTGCGTACAGGGTACAGGATACAGGGTACAGGGTACCACGCACATACATTCGGACATCAAAAAAACGCTAGATTCGTGTTCCCTGGCCCCAAAAACAGCCAGAAAACACATTTTTGATGGGTATTAATTTTTCGACAGATTCCAATATTTCGTACCTCCCGAACAATATTTTGGATTTTCCGCTCAAAAACGAAATTTTGTATGGAAAGTACCCTTAATATGCATTATGGGTACCCAATAAATATTACCTAAGATTTGATGTCAATCAGAGTTTGCGAAATGTCTGAATCTATATTTTCAATAGAATTTTATAAATAAATTTATTAAATATATTTGTATGTATAGGTGAGCCGAATGCGAACGAAGTGTGTGGACAGCGGCGACGAATTATATGTGAAAGAGGCGCACACAGTGAAGTGATCGTTATTTCTCATATTCGCTGCATGAAATCCGACAGAAGCATAGCCGCTTGTTTTTGTGAGAGTAGAAAGAACGAATATGAGAATGAATGAGTTGCGATAGCGTATTGTGTGCCATCTGTATTGCCGTTTCTTCACTCTCATATTCCCTATTTCTGCTCACGCATATGTAAACCGCTATGATTCAGCCGAATTCTACTGCGTATAAAAGAAATAGCGAGTACGTCACTGTGCGTTCTCGGTTCTCATACAATTCGTAGCCGCTGTCCACACATTTCGTTCGCATACGGCTCACCCATACATATAAACACATATTTTGAGAATAAATAATGAATTCACAAATTTCGCAAACACTGATGTCAATCGTACGTATCGTATTGTATGTATGTCGTCATTATATGTTGCCATGCAATGAGAAATTACATGTAAGGGTGAGCGAGATAGCATTGGATAACGTTATGAGTGACAGAAATAGCACCTATATACAGATATTTAACAAAATTATACCTTGTGCAGCTTCGCGATTGTCTGGTTGGGCTTGACCATAACCTCCTGTATAACTCCAATCACCAGTATTACGTTGAGATGTTGGTCCTATTCAATTTAAAACAAATATGTTTGCATGCAAAATCAAATTTAACAGTTTTGATCTTACCGATTTTTGCGCCCGACCCAGACCAAAACCATCCATTTTCATTTGGAGGTTGTAAGTCAGATCGATCACATCCACCGAAATTACATTTGCGTCCACTCGTCCATATATAACGAACATTGCCGCGTGCTAGTCTTTGTTTGATGAATTCATTTTCCTGTGATAATAAACAAATAAGCAAATAATAACACAAATATCTTCAAAATCATCAAGAAAACTCACTTGTGGTGTTTCTAATGAAACCGCATCCATACAATGACTAAAATAAATTTGAATTACTTTTATACACGAAAAAGAAAGAATTTTACAAAAAGCTTACCGACGGCAAATATTCCTAGCGTCAAGCCAATCAACTTCCAAATTACGCGTTGGTCCATGTTCCCAACTGAAAAAGTACGAATGAGCTACACCGCGAGCATCTCGATATGTGGAATGACGAACACCTAATAAAAAAAAATGTAACGTTTTTTATCCATTTTTACGTTGAACCTATTTTAATGTAAAATAGAAAGTAGATCATCACGGGGGACGGCAGTTTCCCAAGTGACGCAATACGAATTATGAAATATGTATATTTTGCGTCACTCTATATATACGTTAAAGAAATGAAATCGATGACGCTGACTTTTGGAAAGGGGTTTTTGCATATTTTAGTAGTGCTTTATTAATTAAGAATCCGCAAAAAAAAATTAAAAAATTTCAAAATTTGGCCGCCAGGTGGCATTTTAAAAAAATCGCTGAAAATTCATTTTTCTCGATTTTTGACCACCGAAATGATTTTTTCGAAAAATTTTTTGGTTTTATTCGGAATCTAGGGACCGCGTAGATAATGTTAAAAAAATATCATCACGATCGTTTGAAAAGTGGCCGAGATATGGAAAGGTAAAAGACTCACCGATCCGAAGTCAGAATGGAAAAATGTTCAAAAATGTCCGCCAGGTGGCAACGCAATAATAACATTTTGTACATATTTGAGTGAACGCGTCACTGAAAATTTATATCAGAACATTTTCAGAGTTATAGTATTGCGTCACACTGGGAATTTCGAAAGAAGTGTTTTTTACTTATTGGCATATATTTCCAATAAAGAATGAAAATTTCATTTTTTGTAGTAAAAGTTTTAATTTTGTGTTCTAATTCTATTGATTTCTCACAGAAAAATGTGTGTGCAATATTTTTTTTCTGATTTGATTTTATTTTGTGCAACATTTAATTTTCATTTGTCTGATATTTCGTCATCAATTCTTACGTGTTTGATTTGTTTTTCTCAATCCAAAATGCAGTTTTATGATGACCAAAATGGCATTGTTAGCGTTATTATTAGTTTTATACAAAATTAGGGCAACTAATTTAGTCTGCTAAAATTTTGATGAAGTTTTGCTTGAGAAACCCGATTTCCGCGATATGGTCGAACAGTACTGTGGTCCATCCAGATTGAACCGGTGGGTGCACGCGATACACCGATGGAAAGTTATTTAAGCGTAGAATAAGATGTGTCCGTAAGAATAAATATGGCAATACAAAAACGGAATCTGAAGAACGTTACATAATTTTTTTTTTACATAGTACAGATCCATACAAAAAAAATAAAAAGGAACTTACATCCGTAAGTCTTACTTTTCCGCACTGTTTCCAAATTTTTCCCTTTACCGAACTGGTAGTGCAGTACTAATTCAATAACTACCGAATTTTATTGTTTAGACAATTTTGATTTTTGGCCAATATGACCACCTGAACTTGAAAGATTTAAGTCGCAATTGGAGCCATTCGATAGCTTACTTTAAGACCTTTCCAACGAATATGCATATGCCTGGGTATGCGATTGTTTGAAAAAATAGCTATTTTTGGCCATTTTTGCACTATCGAAGGCCATATCTTGAAAACAAGAATTGGCGGCCATATCGAGAAGTGCCTGATGACTATAATCACATCAACTTTTAAATCATACTTATTGATTTTTTCTTCTTCCATTAATGACGTCGAATATGACTGAAACTACAAACAAATCCTGTCCCAAAATAGAAAGAAATTATACTTATATAATTTTGACAATTAAAATATTTGTTACAGCATTAAAATCTCAAACCAATTTCAAGCGGTTACCAACCAAAACAATAATACAAAATATGCTTCAGACATATCATTTTCATTATGAAATTGAACATTTTTTACACACGAACCGATATTGTAGAGCGAATTGTGAACAATGTAATGAACATTTCTTAGTTTCATTTTATCATAGATCGAATGTTATTTTCAGAAGCGTGAATTCACATGGAAATAACATTATAACTTACGATTTGCACAACTTCTTGGATCGGGTAATGCTAATCTTCGTTGTGCCAATGCAATCGTGGCGCCGATTGTAAGAAGTGTCAACGTGCGAAGCACCGACATTCTACAAAGAGAAAACAGCAAGAAACAAAATTAATAAAACTTAAATTTTCATTCCAAGAGAGAAAATCTGCTAGATGCGAAATTACGTCAGGTATTTGCTTTGAGTTTCACTTAAAAAAACGACGATTTCACTTGATCGAGTTTACGCTTACTGAATGATTACTTTTTCTACTGATCTACTCGAAACTCCAATTGAACGCATTGCTCTATATTAATTTCATATACAGTCGCTGATTCAACCACACATACACACACGCGGAGAGACACATAGTTCAATTATATCCACACCTATTTCCGTATTCATTGTATGATAAACAAATTTACATTCAATTGATGAATCAGTCAAGTGCATAAACGTATCATCGTACTGAATTGTTGGCAACAGCCGTAATTACATGTTTCTTTTCTTCTATTACCGTAGCGTTCGGTTAACTTTCTTTTCAATTTGATCTTTATGAGCATTCGTTGATTATTTTTAAAATCATGTGAATCTAATCGATCGCTTATTGTATTTTTTTTTTGTTGTGAAACACAATGAATTTTACTTTTTATGTGAGTAAATTAGTATTTTTCAAAAATAAAATTTTTCTCACAGAATATGTTGTAAAATACATGATCTAATTCAATTAGTCAGCCATTCACCATTCTGCATACAAAATGAATAGTTTTTTCATTCAATTTAACCGCACAATCGTGAACCACCATTAGTTCGATCATTGTTATATTAAGTCTGCGTGGTCTGCATAAAATAATATGCAATTTGGCAAATTTTCGGTAGCATTGATTTTCGTCTTTTTCTTCTTGAAACAAATGAAACTTGTTTGTTGTTTGTTGAAATTTAAATATATAATAAATTCATTGTACATTTTTGTTCAATAATTTCACAAATGATCACATTTTTTATAGTGAAGTCCGAGTTTCATTTCAATTGACATTAAACATTAGCAATTAAGATGACGCAAATGAAAGTACAAAAATAATCTTCACATCGATCAGAAGTAAAATAAAAAAAAATACGTGTATTCAGGTTCGAAATCAATGTCAATGCAGATCAAAAGGGAGGACAAGAGAATTATTGCCGTGGTATAGCTTGTATAAGCATCTATACAAGTATAAATCCAACGCACGCAATAACTGCACCGAACCGCGTTCCTTCGCCTTGGTGGTTTATTCAAAATAATTTAAATAAATACAATATAATTAAATTCTAACATCACGCAATTTTGAAAGAGATAAATAATAATTTTCATTTCATTTCATTTATGTTTACAATTCATCTATTTTCTTTCAAATATTTCTGAATTCTCAGCTTTACCGTCGATAAATCTACTTCTAAATCAATTAAATTAGTATCACAATTTGGTATTTTCTTTGTATAATAATCATTGAATGTAATAAGCATATAATTAATTCGTTCATATTTTGTGTAATCGCTACCCCTAACTGGAATATTAAAAAGCGGTATTGCACGGGTATTATGGGCTGAATTATAATAATTTAAACTATTTGATATATGTGTTGACTTCATATCTCCATGAATAGTTTTGAAGATGAAAGACACTTGCGCCATCTTCCGTCTTTCCTCCAGCGTAATCATTTGTAGAAACAGCAGTCTATGCTCATATTTTGGAAGTCTATAGCCATCCCAGTTCATTCTCCTTAGGGCATAAATAAAAATTGTTTTTGTATTGACTCTATTCTTTTGCACATATTGTCGTAGTGTGGATTCCATATTTCCGATCCATATTCAATAATATAATATAATACAAATGTAAAATAAAGGTGTTTAATTGTCCATGGATCGACGAAAGCCGTGCCGTAGAACTTTAACCAAGCCAGTCTTAATTTGGCTTTAGCCGTGACATGCTTAATGTGTGATTTGAAATTCATTTGCACATCAAGCAACACTCCCAAGTCCCTTATTATAAAGACTCTTTCAATTTGCACGCCGCCTATGTTGTATTTGTATTCATATTGCAGTGATCCCCGATGATATGATATGATCTTTGTTTTGTTTACATTTAATTTTAATAAATTGCGTCTATAATAATCCGCTATACGATCCAAGTCATTTTGAAGATTAATGCAGTCATCTGTTGAGGTGATACATTTAGAATACTTGAGCACTTTTCGACAAAGATGGAGTGATGAATCAAAATCAAGACATGCTACCATGCGTAGAGAATTAAAAAACAGTACACTTGACTCAATGGATTGTTAGTTATTAGCAGTGAAGTTGATCGAATTATCTTGAATATATATTTAAAAAAGCTTGTATATTTGGCTAATTACACACTCTTGCGTTATCTATGTATAAATTGTAAGAAAATTGTGCCAGCATAATCTACTTGTTTTATCAACCAACTTGTTGTTTGGATTTACGGAGAGTATGATTCATGGGGCGAATCACGCTAGTAAATACTAGAAAAACTAGTAAATCTAGTGCGAATAATGACGTCACAAACGAAGCCAACTTCACACCAAAGGCCATATAATTTATATGAAAAACTACTGAGAGCCAACTTCACGCACTAGAATTTTCTAGTTTTCTAGTGAAGTCTTATTAAAAACTAGATACACTAGAATTTCGTGATTGACCCCATGGTATGATTGCTAATCATTGATTGGTGTCGAAAATCGGAAGTCAGAAATAAAATAGCACGAAAGCAAAAATAAAAAAAAACTTTCTTTTTTTTTGAACTTTAATCACTTGAATTTGCTTTTCCAATGCTTGAACCGAAAACAACGCGGTCAAAGTGTGAGTCTGCATCAATATGGTTTTTTTTGAATGAAAACAAAACAAATGGCAAAACGGCTTGCTTCATTTGAAAATCAACTATTTTCATTTAAAGCAATACCCGACACTTCATTGAGCACTTTTAAATTTATAATCACAATAAACATCAACGTACCCATCGTGTGCGTATATTCAATTGTGAAAGTTTTTCAAGTGGATTCACAGTAAACAATTGTCATTCAATTGTTACAATGCAAATCAAACGTACGTGGTCCAAACTGTGTAAATATATTCAAATGTTTTTCGTTTCTCCATGTTTTTTTATGACGGTACTACTGCAAATGAATCCAAACATCAGTTAAAATGCTGAATGTAAAAAAATTGATAAATTATTGTTAAATTCCGTACCACGTCTTATCTCGATGTAAATGACACGAAACATTTCTCATTGATTGCACGTTCAATTTACTCATTTTCAACATACCATCGTTAATTTTGAATTCGAAAGGAAAAAAATCACGAAAATTATCCCAAAATGCCAGTGTTTTTGCTAAATAACGTTATATGCGATCTTCGTGAAAGTATCGCACCTTCCATGCAATATTTGACGATATATATTGTATAAAAACTGGTAAGTTTATTTACTTCTCTCAATTTAACTTTTCAGGCGATCGGAGGGAGACACCAAGAATAAATTCCGCATCCACTATATAAATTACTAATCCAAAAACACAAATTTGAAATCGAAACTATTTTTCCTATGCACTGTTTCCGTCAAAAATCCTAATTCTGCTATTCCGCACTATTCCACTAATCCATCAATAAACGTCAAAAGAAATGTCAAATGGATTTGAAGTGAAACAATTTTTGCTATTCCATGCATTGTTTCGCTATTCCACGCGAATCCATTCACAGACGTTACTATTTCATTGCAATTTCTCGAATCTTTATACTAAAAGTCTAATCCTATTCCACGTGTCTGCCCCCTAGCAGGCGATGAATTTAAAATAGGTAGAATATATATGGAAATGTTCTTCATTTCCTATCTTAAATACGTCTTTGCGGAATAAGTGAAACTCTTTATTAATTTATTTAGATTTATTAGTTTTTGCTGCATTAATATTATTTGTTTACAATTTCTTGTTTCTTTATTTCTTACGTTTGGCCAATTGTTTGTCAACATTTATTGTTACGTTTCATAATAAGAAAATATATGTTTTGGTAAAGTTTTTTTCATTATCTTTAGTAAAATACTATTTTTATGCGTAGTTTACAAACGAAAAGGAAATAAAATTAAATTCAATATCCATTGAATGACGTTGGTGATATTAAATTTCAAATTTTCGGTTTGTGTATTAAAAGTTTGAAAAACTTTCTTCGCCACCATTAGATTTCTTGTATTCATGGACTATTGTCTTTTTTACTTTGTCATTAATCACGTCTCTTGAAGGTAAATAAGCCAATCGTATTATGCAGAAACGTACGTACATACAACGCAAATAAAAGCTAGTTGAACACCATTGAATTCCAAAACAATGTGGTGATTGTAAACACTTGTATGAAAGATAGTTTCACGCATTAAGGTGAATTGGTGTCACGCAACTGGCACGCAGACGAAAGCATGAGACGTGCACATCATTATATGTGCTAAATATAGCGGGAACATGATTCCGATTCGTTTTTGTATCTATATCGCATGAATCGTTTTTAATCGATTTATTCAGTTCAGTTTTAGCACATTTTTTTCCTTATTTATTACAGGTAGCACGGCTGAAAGTAGTAGCTACTATTTTATTCTTAATATTATTATTGACTTTAAGCAGAAAGAACATATATAAAGTTGAAAAAAACATAAGAATGCAACAAAAAATCAATCAGAAAAAATGTTCAGATGAAAAACCAAACGAATGAGGAAAAATACGCGAGCCAAGCACAAACAAGTTTATTGAATTTAATTTGTTTACTGGCTATGCGAACGAATGAGCTGTGTTTGTTAACGTTGTTGAAATGTTTTTTTTTCTTTCCTTCAATTTCAGTTTATTGAACTTTACTGAATACAGCATGAAAAATTTTCATTATATGCAAATTAAAAATGATGCATTATGAAAATGTGTTTATAAATGCATAAAAAAGACCATAAGTAATGACATGTAATCGTCATTTGTCTGTTTTTCATTCAACTCTAAATATCATGTGGACTGTTATTATTTACCTAAAACGAACAATGCTCGATAGAAAAAAAACATTATGTCACCAGACTTAAAAAAACATCTCTCTTATTTATCTCTGTAAAACGAGAATTTGAATTATAAAAAATTGACATTAGATTACAATTGCCATCAAACTTAGTATGCATTGTGATCATTTCCATCGTACTAGAGATGTACCGCAATGGACATTTAAATCATGTCAATAAATCCATTTAAATTGGCATTTTCAAATCGCACTAATTCATCAACAGCTTGTGATGCAGCAAATGAAGATTGCTCAGTGTATGTAACAAGATACATTTTAATTATTAGAAATTAATATTATATTTTGTTTACAAAAATACATGGTTTGACACGAAATTCTAAGTCAATTCACTTGCATAATCAAACAAGTATAATTTCGGTATTGCTACTTTCGAAACTTCACGAAATACGGATCGAATAAATTTCTATGATAATTGAACTAATTAATTCATTTGCACTGAACTACACACAAATGAGAACTTTCTTTACTATAAGTATTTACGTATCACGTATCACGTACTCAAACTTACCTTTTCGTTTTCAAAATAATTTAATCAATTTGATTTTCACCGCCAAATCACACTTCCAACTTAATTTGAAATCACTCAAACAATCTAGCAACTTAAAAATGATGAGGAGGTGCTTTGCAACAAAGCGTACAAACGAATTGATGTTGACTGGTTGGCAAAAAATGCTGCACCCAAGTTTATAGCCTGTCCCAAATGCCCCAGCCGCACCATCATCATCATTGTCAACTCTCTTTCTACTTTCCGTTGCGCTAAGGTAATGTTGGTGCTTAAATAACCTACTTCTGTGCGTATTCGATCCGATGCTGTAAATTTCCCCACCACGACCAACTCATGAACGTTCATTGTCATATAATGTAATATAAGTTATTACATATTACCTCTTCAATCACTCGTTAATGGGAACATTCTATGCAAAACGACGGTATAAACCGTATCATTAAATATCTTTATCTAGCCGATTTTATTTCTGCTATTTTGAAATAATAAAAAAAGATCGAATCTTTTTAATAATAATAACTGCACCGAACAGCGTTCCTTCGCCTTGGTGGTTTATACAAAAATACTTAACCCTCTAGTGCATAGCCCTACCTTTAGGCAGGGTGTATAAATTATTGTCTAAAATATATAATTAAAAACAAATGATTCTAAAAAAGTTCTCATGTCGAAAAAACATTAATGCATTAGAGGGTTAAATATAATTTATAAAAATTTCACAAAGTATCTTCGAGAGAGTTGTACATTGTACATAACCAAATAACCTTTCCGCTTTATGTGAATTCCCCTTCACTGGCTTGCCTTTGAAATTCGCTTATACATTTAAGAAAAGAAGATAATGATAATCAAAATAAAAATTATAAAGAGATGATAGTTTTGAGACGTCAGATTTAATATGTACTAACTACAAAAAAATAACATATGAATCATAAACATTGGCACAAATTGAGACATTTATTAGAACGCAATAACAAACACAAAAATGTCAACCAACGCACGTAGTGCATTTATCGATACCTCGAGACTACTGTCAAACTCAATCCGACGTAATACATTTATTCGCGATGGCGTACAAATTGGATTTGCGCAAGTCTGTCTCAAACTGCTTTGGACAGCTAAGTACAAACGAAATTTTCCGTGTGTTTAAAAATAAACCAATCTCACGCCGAACCATCTATCGTGTTTCATGGACTTAATATGAATATAAAGATTCTAAAGAATGCGAAAAGTACGGTCGTATTCCCAATTTAGATGCTCAAACCCTTCAAAATTGTCACCAAGTGCTAAAAATCGGGTTGGTCAAGCAAACATTCAGTTTTGGTGATTTTTATGGTTACAGCACATCCAAATTCGAACCAAAACAATAGATTTAGACACGATCATTAGTAATCAGCAAAATAGGTTACGAAAAAATTTCAAAGGGTGTCAAAAATTGGGTGTTTACATCACCTCATAGCATGTTGCACTGAAAAATTCATCATTTTGGACGGTGAAACATTCATCGCTATATCGAACCACGAATCAAGTGCGAGTGGTTTCTTTTGCATTGATTATGTTGGGGCACTACTATATAAGGCTAGAGACGTGGACAAACCGAACTTTGATAAACGGGTGTATGTATGGTGGGATCTTCTTTGGAAGGTGTTTTAGATCCATTATTCGAGAATTTGATGATGAAACGTAAGGTAAAACCTCCATTACATGCTCCATTATCAACCAATTATTGTTGAAATCGATGGAATTCATTGAGAACTATCTGATTTAAGGCAAAATTTTGCTTTGCAAGTAGAAAAAACCACAATAATGGCTCACTTCTTAAAATATGACATTTCCATGAAAAAAGGACCATCTTTTTAACTTCACAAAAAAACACCATATTTATTATTTCTCGTCTGATTTTGGATGTATGTTATAGGCGAAGGTACAAAATACTTGAAACGAGCAACAATTGGTTGCATGGATTGAGAGAAAGTTGAACGAAATCGACATATCAGTTGTCCAAAGCATGATTTTGATGGTTCGACACATACTAAGAAAAATCGAAGACAATGGTCCGTTCAGTGTGAAGTGAATGTGCTATTCGATAGCCTACGAATAAAGGTTTATACCAATAAAAAAGAATTTAATGTTGTGTGTTTTTTTGTTCAAATGGCGAATGTCTCAATTTGTGCCAATGTTTATGATACATATGTTATACGCTCTTTTAACTATTTGATCAACAGTTTTGCCATTGACGTTGAAGACATTTATTCTTACTGGTTTGAGGGCGACATTTCTTTTCAAATTGAAAATATTGGTTCTGTATAGGGAAAATATATAAAATAAGTACAAAACACTTCTTTCGAAGTTCCCACTGTGACGCAATACTGTAAATCTGGGAATGTTCTGATATAAATTTTGAGTGACGCGTTCATTCATATACACACAAAATGTTAATCAAATAAAAAACCTCTATCGAGGTGAAGAACGAGTGACGAAACCAAAATTTGAAACTCAAAATTTCTGATATCAATTTTGTGACGAAAATAGTTAGTAGATATATTTTCTGTAAACTGTGAATATAAACTTAATATAAAGAGGCTTACGTACGCAAGCTGACTTTTCCGCATGGAACCGAAATTTTTGGGAATAAACTGAAATTATGGTCTATGTATGGTTGCAGTAACTTAAATTAACGTGAATATTATTTTCTTATCAAAATAAATAATCACACTAAGTTTTAAGAAATTTCAATACAAAAAAATAGCCTGCTCAAAGTTTCACATCATTACGGTACCAAAAAGGCAAGTCTTTCATACAAAAATGAATTTTTTTTTCGATTTTTGTATGAAAAGTCTGTGAAAAATTGATTGCATCTTAAAACTAACATCAGATTCGGGTTTCTCATGCCAAAAAACCCCATACGGTTCCACTACACATTCTTTTAGCGTTCAAATTGAAAGAATATCATTTTAACGCATTTTTCTCATAAGTGCCTCTTCACAGTCTAAGTTTTACATCGATCAATCAATGTCGTTGAAAATTTGACCAGATCTATTCCTCATAGTGCCCAATCATCCCGTAAAGTCAGATTATGAATTTTATGTCTGAGCACGAAACCATCGTGTTACCAAAATTGTTGAAAAATTATCAAAATGTAAAATGTATGGATTGTGGGTACTCCATTCGGACCAAAAAAATTACACCAGTCAACAGATATTGCTCAAAAACTAATCAGCACGTCTCCTAGTAGTCCCAAATCATCCTGCAAAGTCAGAATTTGAATTGAATTTTTGGAAGAAGATTTATCGAGTTAACAAATTTTGGCAACACGCCACGTGACACAGGACACATCACACACAGCGACGCACATTAATATGCCCCAAAATCATCTCCAATCGTGTTTTCTACATTAAATATGCATAAAAAACATGTTTTGGGATTACTTTAATTTTTTGGCCTAATACAATACCTTTCCTACACAGTGATTTTGGGGCATATTAATGTGCGTCGCTGTGTGTGATGTGTACTGTGTCCTGTGTCCTGTGGCGTGTTACCAAAATTTGTTAACTCGATAAATCTTCTTCCAAAAACTCAATTCAAATTCTGACTTTGCAGGATGATTTGGGACTACTAGGAGACGTTCTGATTAGTTTTTGAGCAATATCTGTTCACCGGTGTAATTTTTTTTGGTCCGAATGGAGTACCCACAATCCATACATTTTACTTTTTTGATCATTTTACTTTTCCGCACACATAGTGTAAGGTGAAAAGTATTGTAATCGGTCAAAATCTACGACATCACAAACATGTTTTCTGGACGTTTCCGAGGTCAGAGAACCCGAATCAGGCCGTTTTGAGCATGGTTTTTGTTAATCTGTACGTCGTACATCGTACATCGTACGCAAAATTTGTTAGCAAGATTGCGCTCATCGTAGAAACTTAATTCAAAATCTGACTTTACAGGATGATTGGGGGTCTCGAGGAATAGAAATCATTATATTTTGAGCGACTTTGGTTGATGGAAAAAAATTTCATGCCTGTAGTGATACCTATGAAAAAGAGTCCAATTTTCGTCCAAAAGTCATACTTAATGTAGAGTTTTTTGGCACGAGAAAACCGAATTCGAGATTAGTTTTGAGATACAATCAATTTTTGATACAGTTTCCTTGAAAAACCGCAAACAATTGAATTTTTGTATGGGAGCCATGCCTGTTGCTACCTTAATGACGTGAAACTTTGCACAGACTATTTTTTACACAAAAAAATAACATTCTAAAAGTTTGAAGATATGAGAGCTGGGGATGTCCCCGGAGAAGGTTTCAAGGCTCTATACGACTTCTCCAAAGCAAACAATCTCCCATTACTTATGGGCGGTGATGTCAATGCCCACCATACGGTGTGGGGCAGTTCAGACACAAACAGTAGGGGAGAAGAAATTCTTGAATATATAGCAACAACAGACCTAGTTATTCTAAACAAAGGCAATTCACCTACCTTTGTTACAAGGAACAGATCTGAAGTATTAGATATTACACTGGCCACACAGTCATTATCGAACTTAGTGGAGGACTGGCATGTGGTAAGAGAGGACAGATTATCCGATCACCGGGAGATCAACCTCAAACTGTTATGTGCCAAAAAACATACAGAGAAGTTTAGAAACCCTAAGAATACGAACTGGGCTAGACTGAGGAGACGGATCGGAAGAAATGCTCATAATCTTAGTACCTTGTGTCAGGATCTCTCTACACGTGAGAGAATTGACCATATAGCTGAGACATTTGAGCAAACTTTGAGGTCTGCATTTCATCAGTCATGTCCAGAACGGGAACTTAAGAGGAAAGCAAACAATTGGTGGAATTCAGATCTAGCTCGGCTGAGAAAGGAATCAAGACGGCTATTAAGAATATTTCTAGCCCGAAAAGATACACCCCAAGGTCCAATTTGTCATGAAATATGGCAAAGGAGCAGAAATAATTACGCCAAACAAATCTTAATTGCTAAAAGGGAATCTGAAAAAAGATTCTTTAGCAAGATTGATGGTGCTAAAAGCACATCACGAATTCACAAGCTTTTAGCCAAGGACCCCTCACAAGGACCAGGCATCCTCGTCAAACAGGATGGAAGCTATACAGAGTCTAATGAAGAAGCTGCAAAACTTCTACTAGACACTCATTTCCCAGAAAATATCATGGCCGTCTCTCC